TGGAAAATATTATATCTAGTTCACTCCCATAAGCTTTAAAAATTATTAAGTTTACTGTAGCAAAAGAGATAGAAGTGTGTAACTAGTCCGTCTGGTTTCAAATCAAATTCAATTGATTAAATAGAAAATTAATGGCGGAGCTAGTATATTAGGGTCAGGAAGGGCACTCATGTATAATATATTTTGAGAGGGTTCACAAATTATAAATATAACAATTTAAGAAGTTCACCTTATAAATGTATTATTGGCTGCTTAGAAAAAATTCTTAAGCAACTGTATGTGCATTTGCCACTGATAATATATAATAATAAAATAGATCAAATAGTAATATATAAATATATATTGAATGATATTAGACTTCAAAATAAACTCTAATTAACAGATAAGGTAGGATTCTCATAATCCTTATCCTAGTAGAATTTATCTTGACTCTAATATATACACCCCAAATTTACTTCAAGCAGGAAATTATTCACAATTTACTCAATTCTTAATTCTGATAGTTAACAAATGGTGCGGTGAGTATGGATCACACCTTTTTGATATTCTATAAAATACGAGCTATCTTTTATTTTTAAAAGAATATATATATCACTTTTTGATATTCATAGTAAATACGGCCTCTTTTATTTTTAAAGAATATATTATATATATATATATATATATATATATAATATAATATTATATATTAATATATGGACCTTTTATTTTTTAAAAGAATATATATATATGGTAGAAAAGTTTTGGACTTGGAGGGGACGAGTTTTGATTCTCAGGCAAGCAGTGGGACTATGTTTCCTCACGGAGAGAACCGCTGTTTGCACCAATTATGAGGTAAGAGAATATTTACATTTTGGATAAGGAAGGATTTAATTAATATTAAAACTTCAAATATTGGATGCTGTGTTTCCTGCGCTAGTTGAAGCCATTTTCAATTCGATTTTTCTTTTTCTTTCTTGTGTTATTTTCTTTTCCTTTTTTATCGCCTCCATTGTTCTTTGGTTATATTCATCAGAGGCGTTAGTTCTCCATTGAAAAAGGAATTACTTGAACTAATATATGCTAGCATATGGACACAACTAGGCAAGAGCAACTGCATATTTTTGCGGTGAATAATTGAAAGCAAGACAGAGATATAAAAATGTACCTTTTGTGAGATCAGTATACAACATCATACAGTAGACGACAAATTCAACTGATACCTTCTAGGTAAATCATCAGCTAAGTGCAAAAATTTTATTTTTTTACTATAGGATACCCTTAAACCCATTGGTCATGCAGAGGAGCATGCTTATAGAGTCACTAATAATAATTCAATTTAAACAATAAAGGAATATAAAACAACAATCTAGAGAGTAAGAAAGTAAAGACTAAAGAGAATTGAAAAAAAAAAAAAAAAAGTGTTATTTTGTTTAGAATTTCAGCTATTCTTATTTGATATACAATTGGACTGCTTTGTGATTTTATCATTACAATATATATATATGTGTGTGTGTGTGTCCTTGATATGATTCAATGATGGAAAAGAAAACTAGAGCAAAAGTTGGCAACAACTTTTACAGATTATGAAGTGTATTCCTCTTGCTAGCATTCAACAAAAAGGTATGCTCCATATTCTACTTTTAATAAAATTTATTTTTTAAATATATTCCTATTTATTTATTCGGTTTTTATCTTATGATCAAAACTAAATTGGACATAAATTAAATAAATTGAGCTTAAATACTATATAAATATGATAGGAGTTTCATATGGATTGGATAATGATTTATACTTAAGCTCAGTATTCAATATGTTCATATTTTATTTTTAAAATCAATAATGTCAAATATCTCATTAAAGAAAAAAATACTGGTTCATCTTATTAACTTTGTCCATAAAATTTATTTGTTTCTTGTGGGAGGTTAAAAGATGTCAAATGCGAAATAGTTGGTTGCCTTGATAAAAATTAGAGTCCTTTTTGTATATAATTTGGTAACTTGACCTTGATAAAAATTAGAGTCCTTTTTGTATATAATTTGGTAACTTGAATTATTTTAGTATGTCAAATTAGATGTTTAAATCAAACCATTTCCTACTTTACATGCAAAGATTACACAATATATATAAGGGGACTTAGCAACATTATGGAATCATTACTATTAATTATATGTGTAACCGGACTAATTGTTTCACTTTATAACTTCTAATCTACTTGTCATTTACCAGTTTGTAAAAACATATCCCAGATTTGATCTATTAATCATGTTGATTAATATTTTATCAACAGTACTGAAAAATTGAAAATCTATGTTCTCTAACTATTACTAGTTGAACCCTCTAGCCTGTGAGCTCTACACAAATGTATTCCTATATGCAAATCGTGATAATTTTCTTCCTCAATAATTTCTGAATGGAAATGCAATTGTGACCACTCAAATAATTAGACGGAAGTTAACCTCAGTGATGAGTAAAATATTATATTAAATGTCGGAAACTACTTAGATAATCATGGTAAACTTGAAGGACTTAATAATTATTTTTCCATAATAAAATAGATCAAATAATAATATATACAATTGTGACCACTCAAATAATTAGACGGAAGTTAACCTCAGTGATGAGTAAAATATTATATTAAATGTCGGAAACTACTTAGATAATCATGGTAAACTTGAAGGACTTAATAATTATTTTTCCATAATAAAATAGATCAAATAATAATATATAAATATATATTGAAGGATATTAGACTTCCAAATAAACTCTAACTAACAAATAATGTAGGATTTTTACAATTCTTATCATAGTAGAATTTATCTTGATTCCAATTTATATACCCAAATTTATTGCTTGGAACAATTCACAATTTCCTCAATTCTCGATTCCGATAGTTAATGGCCACTATCGAAAATTGAACTATATTTTTTAAAACAATTAAACTATATACAAAATTAAACCAAATCAAAGAGGTTTGATCTAGTTGGTTGAGTCAACTTTGTTCAGTTTTTTGACTGATTTGGCTTATTTTCTACAACTGAGTAGAAAATCATAAAACAAAATTGCCTAAAATCATAAACCATCAAGACGGAAACACTATCCCTCATGTAAGTGACGCCTGCAGCATCGTCGGAAAGCCAAGGCAGGAGCACTTGGGGAGGATCTTCCATGACATGAACACCCAAACCAATGGAGGAAGCCTTCTCAACGTCTCATTTTTTTAATATAATATTTTTTAATTAAAAAAAAAATTATGACTCAAATGCTCGTCTTATAAATCTCTACCCTTTTATAATATCAAATTATATAAATTAAACTATCATTTATTCTATGCCCAAGTTGAACTTTCTTTTGCGATTTCACTCTATTTTAAACTTCTGTCAATTTTATCGTAATTTTGACTTGTTTAGCAATAACATCCTCAATTATAATTAAGGATGGAGTTACAAATAAAAAAAATATTTTCATTCCTTTTTTTAGAAGATATTTTCATTTTTTTAAAATAATAACAATAATACAATTTATCAAATTATATTCACATATAATGGGTAGCATATTTATAAATATAAAAATATGATATTTAAGACATGTGCAATAAAATATTTAAAAAATTAATTAATTATTTTTTATTAAATGAATAGTAATTTCGCTATATTATCATCCAAAAAATTACTACAAATTTTCATTCTTAAAATATAGATAATATAAAATATATATGTAATTAAAATATAATTTATTAAATTTAATGTTGTGTCCTGTCTGAGATTTTTTGATAAGTAAAATAAATTTATGTTATTAATTTTTTTTAAATTATGTTGTTAAATTCTTAATTAACACGTTTATTTTAAAATTTAGAATTCAATATGTGAAATGTTATTTGTTTAAACTACTGAATTTGTTAAAATTTTTATTTTTAAAATTTTTACTAGAGTCATATGATGGTTTAAGATAATAGAAATCCTTTTTTATTTGTAATTTTAATTTGCAAGTAAGAGTGTATCGCTACAAAAGATCGAAATTGAGGTAAAATTAATATAAAAATAAAAAATAAAGTGAAATTGCAAAACTTGTGAAATTTTGGATATTTTTTATGGATTATGCCACCCTAGTTGGGCCAATTATATTTTTAGAAAAAAATTATAAACTATTTAAATCTCTCAATTATGATTAATTTTTAGTTTCATATATCAATGAGACTATAAAGATTGATTTTTCAAATTTCAAATATCTGAGAGGAAGCACTTTTACCTGTAAGTGTAAGGTCGAAAGACGATTAAAATAAAAAAAAAAAATCAGATACCAACTGATTAAAAAAAAAAAGAAAAAGAATCAGCGAAACTAGACTGTGTGCTAGTTGACTTTTACCTGTAAAGTCTCATAGTGTATAATATTATATAAAGGAAAAAAAAATGTCTTTCATATTTTATCTCCACTCCATATAATGTTGATGCTAATGAAAAAGTTCGAACTACACTTTGATCTTATCTAAAGTGAGATAAAGCTATTTTTTCTTTTTTAATTTAAGATCTCAAATCGACATTTTTAATTTTATATATAAATATTCTGACATAAAATGATAAGATTTTTTTTTTTTAAGAAAATGATAAGATTTTTTAAATAAATTATAATTGGAATTATCTTTTTAATGGAGTAGCTAATTTCTAGCTTGCATTACATAAGCGATGAAATTGAAGTCTCCTCTTTGTCTCTTCTCAATACAGACAAAAATATCCAATTTCTGACTTTGGATTTCGCTCTTCATCTCTGTGTCTTCTCTTTTCATTCTTCTTTTTTTTTTTTTTTTTTTTTATCTCTGTGTCTTCTCTTTTGCATTCTTCTTTTTTTTTTTTTTTTTTTTTTCAACAATAATTGAAAGGAAAGTTTCATATTTTTATTCTAATGAAGAATCACAGGCAAAGAAATGGAGAGATATGGGCAATTTGAGAAGTGAGTCAAAATGAAGAAATTAAGAAGTCATGAATCATTATGAAAATGGAAGAAGATGGTTATGGCGGTGTCGTTTTTTTTTTTTTTTTTTTTTTCACAATAATTGAAAGGAAAGTTCATATTTTTATTCTAATGAAGAATCACAGGCAAAGAAATGGAGAGATATGGGCATTTGAGAATGGTCAAAATGAAGAATTAGAAGCTCATGATCATTATGAAAATGGAGAAGATGGTTATGACGGTGTCGTTTTGGGTTTGGATGGTGGAACCACCTCCACTGTCTGTGTATGCATGCCTTTCCTTCCTTTCTCTGAAACCCTTTCTACCTCTCCTCCTATTCTTGCTCGTGCAGTTGCTGGTTGCTCCAATCATAACAGCACAGGGGGTAAAATTTTGCCCTTGCTTTATTTTTCTTGATTTGAACTTTTCTGGTGGCCTTCTGTGATCTGGGTTTCTTTGGGTTTTGAGAAGTGGAATTGTTAGGTCTTTATTCTATTAATGAATTGTAGTGTTTAGACTTTTACATATGATAAATTGTTGATTGTTTAATGATTTTAACCAAATTATTGCACCATATAAGAGTTTGAACGAAACATTATCTCAATATTGATGTTCTAATACATTTCGTTTCCTGGTAATTTGTGAGGGTTTCTTTTCATGGTTCAATTTCAAAGCAATTTGTATCCTGTGTGTTGCAATGCTTTGTTCATCTTTATTTTTATATATTTGTAAACCTAAAGCTCTGGCTTCTCAAGGTGATCACGTTTCTGTTCTGAATCGCCAGCAGTTCTCGATAACCTTATGCTTGAAAACATTAATTTTGCTCAATTGTCAATTCAACTACTCTAGATGTCTGCTTGAAATATTGAATCAGTTGAAATGGTAGACTTTACCCAATGTAAGCTCTCTTGTTTGTTAAATTAAATGGGTTGCCTTAACCTCTTCCCTAGGTTGAATTCCGAAGCCTACTTGTCATTTTTAGTTGTTCCTTCACCTTGTTACCTTGTAGTGGCTGGAGCTACAACGTATGCAACAATCTTGGCATGTGATCTCCCTTCTCGCTCATGATTGTTTAAAGCTTATAATGAAGTAATTTGCAATTAAATGGATTTTATTTTTCTATCACTAGTTTTCTCTAGCATTTTAGCCACAGCTCTCACTTTATCAGTTTGATTGCATATTTTGAAACACAGTAATAAAGCATGCTTATTCTCTTGATCTTTTAAGTAATTGTCCCATAAATTGTAAAAATTTGTTGATTGTACAATACTTGAAAGCACTATTTCCTGTTATTGATATATTGTAGCTTTGCTAATGCTAAAGGACTGTTCTTATGCAACAAGGCCTTTATGATGGGAGAACTAATGAATCAAGTAATCAAATTGAAAGTTTCCATCATAAAATGATTTCTTATAGGAATGTTCTTGGATTTCTATATAGGCGGATAGAATGTAAGATTTGTTGCTTGCAACTTTGTTTTCTTATTTTCATGAGTATCAATGAAAAAGAAAAGTTAAGTTTTCTGAAAAATGAAGTATGCAAGTCACTTTGCATATATATACTTTCTGGTAGATAGCCACTTTGCATAATTTCATAAATTCTGTTGTGTTATTCCTGTTAAACGCTTTCACGTGATTTCAAGAGCAAAAGCGTCAGTATTTCTTGTTGTCCTCTTTCTGAGGAATGAAAAATAAGCAACAAAAGAAAAAAGTTAATTAACTTTTTTAATTTTTTAGTTATTGTTCATTTTCATATTCTACAGAATCTTCTGCCAGGGATACATTAGAAGATGTCATGGCCGAGGCCCTATCAAAGGCTGGTTCAAGTAGATCTGCTGTTCGTGCCGTTTGCTTGGGCATTTCTGGTGTTAACCATCCAACGGACCAAGAAAGGGTTCTGAGTTGGCTAAGGTTTGTTATTTGAAAATTATTTTAGCAGTTTCTCTTTCTGGCTGTCACAACAAATATAGTCAAAGATTTAACTAAGACTAGTACATATTTAGTATTTAAACATGCAAAAATTTTTTAATTTTCAGTTTTAGATTGTTTCTGAGCAGAATCTGAAGTCATATCACTGATGCTTGAGCCTTTGGCTTAGGATGTTTTCTTTTACATCAGCTACATTGGTGATTTAGATATGCACCCTCATGTTTTTTTAAGTCTCTTTCTTAGATTTATTTTTTTTGGGTACAAAATTACAATGACCTCTTTCATTGCCTTTCAGCCTTCTCCAACTACCACTGCTTCAATACTTCTTGAACTACAACGCAACTAAGGTTTTTGAGATTAATAGCAGTAGTGATTAGATTTTAGGATGCACTTCTATGTTGATGAGGAACTTGTGCCTATCTAATGGAATCAACGTGGATATTTGCCTGCATGCTCACACGTAGAAGGGGAAAATGCAAAATTCCAAACAAGTTTCAGCATTCCAAGAGCAACTTTCAATACTTCCCATTTAAAACTGCTCAAAAATATGTGGAAGCTTCAAACTCTTACCAACACATTTGTGAAAGAGGGGATCGTGATTGCTATAGATGGAGATACATATTGTGATGCTTTGATGAAGAAAGCAGGATTTTGAGACCTGAATTTTAGAAATCAGATATGAACTCTTGCAATGATTTGTTTCATGCCACACTGAAATATAAGAAATGGAGGTCATTGAATGCTTAAACATTAATCATTTGTTGCTTTCATTCCTTTAAGTGTTCTTATTCGTAGTTTTCAATGCAAACATTTTTGTTCACTGCTGTAGATAACACCACAATTAACTTGTAGCTCTTAGCTACATTGTCTTTTGCTCATACTTTTGTATTCTTCATGGATGCTGGTGCTGAATCAACTGACATGATTTTCTCAGGAAAATATTCCCTGGCCATGTGAAGTTGTATGTCCATAACGATGCCTTAGCTGCTCTGGCAAGTGGGACCATGGGAAAGCTTCACGGCTGTGTATTAATTGCTGGTACGGGGTGCATTTCTTATGGGATAGCTCAAGATGGAAGAGAAGCTCGGGCTTCTGGTGCAGGGCCTGTCTTAGGTGATTGGGGAAGGTACATGCTTCATGCTCAGTGTGTTTTTAGTTCCATGATTCATGTAATGAGGCAGTGGATTTTGATTTATTGATTTGTTCTTAAACAATTGGTAACTGTTGGCTATTTTATTGCCTTTAGTTTCCAAAGAATAATAACAACTCTCCAAGTCTTTAGTGGTTTTCATAATAACAGCTTGTTATTGTAATTTTCTCATTAGTCAAACATATCCCAGGTTGGACTTCAACATATTCTTGTGACAAATATGTTGTATGAGTACTATACATGCTTGCTCCTAATGTAGATATGTGAATTTGTTGAAAGTTATACACTGGCCCAGACATGGATTATATTTGATAGAACATTGAAGTCATGGTGTACCCATGAAAGGTTGAGTTTTCAAAAAGGAAAAGCAGAACGGTTTACAACCATCTGCTTGGATGGACAAGGTCAAGGAAATGCAATGCAATTACCACATTTTTGCAAAAACTAGTTATCATTGAGC